CCAAGTAAAATTTCAGCTTTCAATTGGCAATTAGTACTGGATAAAATTCCAACTAAAGCTAATTTGCTAAGAAGAGGGATCATCAAGGATGTGACGGAAACCAAATGTGCCCTTTGTAATGAAGAAGAAGAGGATGCTACTCATTTGTTCTTAAAATGCAAAATTGCAAGGTGGATATGGAAGGCTTGCTCTAAGTGGTGGGGGTCAAAGATGATGGTGAACAGAGACTGCTGGAACACGTTTCAACTCCTCGGGATGAATACCAAAGGATCAAAAACCAGAGAAAGGCATGGATAGCATCTGGAAAACAACCGTTTGGTCCATTTGGATTGCTAGAAACCAGAAAATCTTCCATAGTGAAGAGGTAAATCCTGATACACTCTTAGAACTTATACAAATGAGATCTTTCTGGTGGATCAAAGCAAGAAAAGATTGGACTACTGTTACTTTCTCATATTGGTTGATTGATCCTGTTGCATGTTTCAAAACTTGATATAGTGAGCGAACAGTGCATAACTAGGGGGCTTTTCCTTATGTTTCTGGTATGTAAAAATAGGAGTTGGTGTTGTTTAAGGGTTTGAGTACCCCTTGTACTCTATATTCTCAATAAAACTTTTGCCGTTCAAAAAAAAAAAATTAAAGCGTCTTTTAGGATTTTATTTAATTAAGCAATTGGATTAAGAGCAAAAAATATGGTCATAATTTGTGGTTTATAGTTATTTAGGCCTCTATTAAAAGCTTATTTAATAATAGGCACTGGTAGTTGATACATAAAAGTCAAAACTTACGCAATCTTAGGACTCAAGAAACCACCATATTCATCTTCCAAGGCTTGGGAAACATCCCAATGGAAGATAGTCACAAATGGCTGGATGCCTGCATATTCATGGACATATAATTAACCCTCATATATAAACACATGATTCATATAAAACAATTAACTGGAAAAATTATAATGAATCACGACCATTGGCTAGGAGCTCATTGACGAGGTTGTTGTAGTATTTGATTCCTTCCTTGTTGATACCACCGCTTAGCTTTCCATCTGAAAGTGACAAGAACAAAATAAGAATGGAAGAATGACCAAGAATTTCCTTTTCTTGTTGCTGCCATAGCATTAAACAATCTAGCTAATAGCATTTTCTTACTTGGCAAAACTCTGGACCACGAGATTGAGAACCTGTATGCATCTAGACCAATTTCTTTCATAATCCCAACATCCTCCTATAACAAATGCAAAGATAATTAACTTTTTGTCACTTTTGACAAACATAGAAAAGTCAAAACTTGTTGTCCCACCACGTTCGCCTCCTATATGGTAGTAAACACAACTTGTTACCTTGTACTGATGATATGAATCAATAGCCACATCTCCATTACTTCCACCAGCTATCTTCTCTGCCATTTTATAATAAACAACTTTGTTATACTTTGAAAAGTTCGATAAGAAACTTGCATGATTTCGAGACTGAAACCCCATATATAGATGGAGAAACA